ACAGCATGCTCTGTATGTGATATATGTATATAGATATAGATATAGATATAGATATAGCTAATTGGCAAATATTAAGTTAAACTTGTCTATTTTAAGTAGAGTAGGTGGTTTAAATGAATCCATTCCAGAGAGAACTTAGCTTCAGTAATTTGTGTGTGTGTTTTTTTAAAATCTGTTTCTAAATGATTCCATCTCCAACAGCAAAATAAATAGACAAACAAATAGCTCTTTGTAAAACTACAGTAAGCATTTCCTTTGCTGACAGAAAAAGTGAGATTTCAAATATGGAGAAGTCTGAGATGTTACCACCACTCATAAAAATGTAGTCCTGTCTGCTTTTTTAAAACATAAATTTGAACTCAAGCAAGTTCGCACTTTTCTCAAATAAATTGAACTTCAAATAAGTTAGCTACAATCCCATCTTATTTTTGCCATAGTGTCTTCCAATATTTATTATTTCCTTTACATGAAATTGCCTGTGATTTTAATGAACCTATCATAGCTTCTTATATTCTGCATTTATAGACACATATACTTATGTTAGCATAACTTCCATACTTCTTATAGCAAACAAAGCATAATATAAGTTTCACAATATACCATTCCATAGTGATAAACTGTTTCACTTTTGTTGGGTTATAATAACAGTAGTAACAATAACCACCACTTAGTGACTGTTTATACAGCGAGTATTCTATTAAGAGGCTCTTTCAACGAAGTAGACACTGAGCTTAGTTTGTTATATGGAAATGCCTAGAATTTGATATACTTAAGTTTCTACTCTTTGTGTAACACTAATCAAGAAAATCTTCCTACACTGCTCACCTTTAAGTTCCTCCTCTTCAAAAAAAAAAAAAAAATGCCTGGAAATAGCTGACCTTGAGGATGTACCCACTAGAGTTGGGCACATAGTAGATGCTCAAAAAGTGAGGAAGATCATCATTGAGAAGTACTCCTGAAGTTGATTTGCCCAATTTGATAAGCTGAAGAGATGTATACAATTTTGTGCGTATTTCCAGATGGATTTCCAATTAAACAGTTGGTGTCCTTGAGAATGGGCTAAGTGTTCATTTCTTATACACCAGATCCTTACCGGGTTTGCTTTTGCATTCTTCTTGTGTTCATTCTTCTTTATTCTTTCAACAAATAACAGATGCCCTGTGCACCAAGCATTTCTGAAGTCACTGTTACACTCAGGTTTCAACTGGCATGAAGGAGTTGTTGTCTGTTCAGCAGGAGTCAAAAGACTTTGGGTATGGTCTACACTGCTATGCCAGTAATGGGCAGAAGTGTATGTGGTGTGTGTGTGTGTGTGTGTGTGTGTGTGTATGTGTATACATATGTGTACGCATGCGCACACACAGTCATCTGAGTGTGTGTTTGTCTTCTCCATGAGGCCATAGTTGGTCCTTTTGATATTACAGCATACCATATCAATGAAGATGCTGCAGATACAGCCTTCTGGGAAAGACACACGTTAATAGAGGATGCACTATGACTTATAATAATAGATTTATGCACAAAAGGTTGTGCCTGTATAATTCTGCCCAGGTGATTAAGGAGGGCTACAAAATTCACTACTGAATTAAACATTTTTCCAAGTGAATACCAGTTTATCAGTGTGATTAGAAAAGGGCTCAGTGTTAAAAATTGCAATCTACCCAAAGAAAGCAGAAAATGCAAAGTCAGGAGAGACCTACCTATGCAATAGCCATTCTCCTAATACTGTAATTGGCACGGTGGGTGGCTGAGTATTAGTACAGGAGGGTGGGAAGGTGAACAGGGCGAGCCCTGAAAGAAGGTAGGAAGCTGGTGAAAATATCACATACTTCCCATGTGACAGGCAGTATGGACATTTTGTGTATATTTTTCTTAGAATCTTTAGAATGACCCTGTTATAGAGGTGATGCAAATGAAACTTTGAATACGAAGTTGTTCAAGGTCGTACAGCAAGCACATGGTCGATTTGGTGTTCAGGGCCAAGACTTTGAAAGCAGAACCCCTCTTCTCTTCACCAAGATGTAGTTAATAGTTAAATGGGAAACCACTTAAATGGCTTTGCATTTATTTGGGTTTAATTCTGTGAAGAGATATCTTTGGGATTGTGTTTTGTGTTGTCTCAGAGTTCATTGAGAGTACAAAATAGATGTTCCACAAAACTTATTTTCACTTTCTTTGGTGTCTTTCAAACGTAAATGTTTCCTCTTCATAAAGACAGCATGGTTTTCCTTGTGCTACGTAGCAGATTTTTTTTTTAAATAGGATCCTTAAATTATGTATTATTTTTTGTTTTTATTTAAATGCCAGCTAGTTAACAATACAGCGTAATATCGGTTTCTGGTATAGAGTTTAGTGATTCAGCACTTACATACACTACCCAGTGCCCATCACAACAGATTCTTTTTTATAGGTGTTATGCTCTATTTTGCTTACCTTCATCACCCCTTTATCCATCCATAGATATGGCCAGTGAGAACATCTCAGCCTGTTGGAGGATGACACTCCATCCATCCTCAATTGCCCAGCCTGTGTGCTACACTGACTGTGGCTGAGTCTCACCTTTCTGGCGCCTCCTCCAGGGAAAAGCCCCGCTGTCCCCCAACAAGCCTGGCCATACTCCCTGCAGCTGTTGCATTGCCCCTGGGACTCCTTGTCTTCTGGGAGGATCAGATTCCCATCCCCAGCTTCCAGTCTGCTTGAAAGCACCCTGTATCCCTAATAGCATCCCCTCCAAAAAGGCGATGATCCCTCCAGCCAACCATTTCAATAAAAGGTCAGATAGTCCATATTTTAGACTTTGCGAGTCATGCTACTTGTCACCACCCCTCAACTCTGCCATTGTAGCATGAAAGCAGCCAGAGACAAGATGGAAATGAATGCCTATGGCTGTGTTCCAATAAAACTTTATTTATAGACTCTGAAATTTGAATTTCAAATAATTTGCAGGCTTCTTTTGATTCCTTTCAACGATTTAAAAATGTAGGACCCATTCTTAGCTCACAAACATGCAGCAGGCTGCAGTCCGTCAGTCTCTGCTCTAGACAGACAGTGCGCCAGCAGCGCTCCCTCCCTCTTCCGTGGGGTCAACTGGGGTCTGACCATTGGGGTGTCTGATGTAGCTCTCTTGTGAGAGTCTCCAATCCAGAGCTTCTTTGCCAGTTCCTTCCTGGAGCCTTTAGTCATATTTGTTTGATCCTGTCTTTGTGCTAGGGGAGGACCCACGAAAGGATCTGGTCATAGGGGAAGGTGGCGAGGTTCTGTTCACTAGCTGATATCTGATCTGGGAGTAAAAGGCGAATTCTTTTTCTCTGGAAGATTTCTTTGGTTGTTAACCTTTTTCTGTTTTCAGGAACCTCTGCACTGAAGTAAATTAAACTGATTATTGATCACTTTGTAATTCTTTGAGTATATGTATTTTACCTTAATTCCCATGATTTTTCAGATCATTGATCTTAAACTTTCTTCTCTTGAGTTTGTGTTGCAAATGGGAAGATAACATTGGCAAGTAAAGGAAAGCATTGATCAAACAAGAGTATGAATTTTTTTTTAAAGATTTTATTTATTTATGACAGACAGAGATCACAAGTAGGCAGAGAGGCAGGCAGGGAGAGAGAGGAGGGGAAGCAGGCTCCCCGCTGAGCAGAGAGCCCGATGCAGAGCTCCATCCCAGGACCCTGGGATCATGACCTGAGCCGAAGGCAGAGGCTTTAACCCACTTAGCTACCCAGGCGTCCCAAGAGTATGAATTTAGACAAAAAAGATACGCCAATTCCTGGTTTTTGCCATTTATTCATTCACTTACTCAGCAAATATTTACATGTGGCCAACCCTGAATCCCAAAATGAAAGCTCACTTTATAGCTCTCCCCACAGTGATGAGCAGAGTACTATGCTTGTCATCCAGGGACCGTGGGGGTGAGGGGTGCAGAGGTCAAGGAGATTCATCTTCCTTTGGTCCTCTTTGTATCTGTTACTCATATTGGAGGATAGATGGGGTCCAAGGGTCCAAGTAAGCGTGGGACCATGCATGTGCCTCTTCACTCCACATGCTGTGGTGAAAGAGCCTGGCTCTGGAGGTCAGAGTGTTGGGCCACTGGCTCTACTTTCTGATCTTAAATGTTGTAAATGAAAAGACTGTGTTGCAGCTTTGTTGTGAAGACTGAAAAAAAGCCGTACACAGGCCTGATAGAATGTTCAGCATGTAGGCCTTAAAAAAATTCTACATCCAAGGATGTCAAATATACCTGTTGTTTGTTTTGTTCTTTTTTTTTAAAGATTTTATTTATTTATTTGACAGACAGAGATCACAAGTAGGCAGAGAGACAGGCTGAGAGAGAGGGGAAGCAGGCTCCCTGCTGAGCAGAAAGCCCAATGTGGGGCTCGATCCCAGGACCCTGAGACCATGACCTGAGTCGAAGACAGAGGCTTAACCCACTGAGCCACCCAGGCACCCCTTGTTCTTTTTTTTTTTTTTTTTTTCAAGAGGGAAAGTGGTGGGGGGTGCAAAGATAAGATAGAGAATATTAAGCAGGCTCCACGTTTAGCAAAGAGCCCTATGCAGGGCTCGATCCCACAACCCAGAGATCATGACCTGAGCCAAAATCAAGAGTCAGATGCTTAACCAACTGAGCCACCCAGGCACCCCTGTTTTGTTCTTTATTGATAAATGTATAACCTTCCAGTAATGTTAAACCAATTTACTACTAAATTTACTACTTCCTAATCAGACTTATTTATTGACTGCCTAGTGTGTTTCCACAGCTATACTGTGCATCGTGGGGAAAGCAGAGACATGTGAATCAAGGCCCCTCTGTTGGATTGTCAAACATTTTTTTTTTAATACTGTAGGTTGGAAAGCTACTCTTCTATGAATGATATAGAAAAACATTTATTAACTTTGCTATTTCTTTGTGTTTCTTTTTAGATCTAAACGGTGATGGCACACATTTCAGTTACGAGTCGCTTAGTGAGCTGTGGATTGACAGAAGTATGAGGGTCCCTGTTGTGATGTACACCTGGAAGACCCTTCACTAGTAGGTATTTTCTATTCAGTATTATTTATGTGGTTACATTGAGCTCTTCAACAGAGTATACACTTACAATGAAAAATGTGTAAGATACATATGTTCGTGTTGATGTTGTGAATATGGCTAGATTTATTCTGGTTTGTGCCAACTTATTGCAACACGAAAGAACCCGTTAAAATGGATCTGTTACGTGTGTGTATGTCTATTAGTAAGATAGTACATATACATCTCCGTAGCAGAGTTTAGAAGAACAGAACTTTACCTCTCCTTTAACTGAGTGAAAAATGTCACTGGAAAGTTGCAATGTCTTTTGGTTCTTTAATATCATGTAATCTGGCAGTATAAAAATTTCACCTAATAGAATGTTTTGAAATGGTTCAATTTTATTGTAGTTTTAACCAACAGCACATCTGATAATGCTTTCGCTTACCCAACTGCCATATGGTAATTGACATGTGATGTTTATGGTGCCATGGAAATGGAATTATACTTGATCTTCTCATTTGACCAGTTCCACATAACATGAAGATATACTATATCCATGTATAGTCCAGGCGTCAGTTTCCTCCAGCTGCAAAATGAGAGGAAGAATTTCTGCTTTACCTAATTCATAAGATTACTTTATAGGTCCAGTGAGCTAATACTGTGAAATTATTAGTTAACTGCAAACCCCATAAAAATGGTATGGTTGTGGTTGACTCATATTTCAACTAGGGAATTGGATAAAAGTTGTGATCATACTTTGTTTTGGTTTTGGTTTTTTTTTAAGTTTTTTAAATTTAAATTCCAGTCATGTTAACATACATTGTAACATTAGTTTCAGGTGTACAATGTAGTGATTCGGCACTTCCATACATCGCCTTCTGCTCATCATAAGAAGTGCACTCCTTGGGGTGCCTGGGTGGCTCAGTCAGTTAAACATCTGCCTTTGGCTCAGGTCATGATCCCAGGGTCCTGGGTTCGAGCCCCACATCAATCTCCCTGCGGGAAGCCTGCTTCTCCCTCTCTCATTCCCCCTGCTTCTGTTCCCTCTCTCTCTTTAAAACAAGATCTTTTAAAAAAAAGAAGTGCCTTCCTTAATCCCCATATACTCTGCTTTTAAGTTGGTTAATACAGTTTGATATTTTGTGTGTTATTCCCCTAAAACATAAATGATAAAATCATACTTAATTTTAATTCATCACTAAAATGAATTTCTTGTATTTGAGAAAATGATATTTAAATTTTGAGAACATGTTTCTCAGGCACACTGCAAATGCCAGTCCCCACCAGCCATAAGAATTGGGTTTCTGGGGGCGCCTGGGTGGCTCAGTGGGTTAAAGCCTCTGCCTTTGGCTCGGGTCATGATCCCAGGGTCCTGGGATCAAGCCTCGCGTCGGGCTCTCTGCTCAGCAGGGAGCCTGCTTCCTCCTCTCTCTCTGCCTGCCTCTCTGCCTACTTGTGATCTCTGTCAGGTAGATGGATAAAATCTTTAAAAAAAAAAAAAAAAAGAATTGGGTTTCTGCTCCTGATCTCCAGGATACTTTCTTATTATACTTAATTTGGGGTATTTATACTTTGAGGAGAAAAGATACATTAGATCCTTTTTATGTATAGTTTCATTTCAGGATACTAAGGAAATGATACAGAAATTCCATCAGGAATTACTCATTTGGTTTGCTACATTTAATTCCTTTTCACTGCGATCTCTTCACTACCTCATCTGCCTATTCTCTTTTGCTAACAGAACACAGCTACTCAGTTTAAAGTAAAAGATTGAAAATAAGAATCTCAACAAATATATTTAGTAAGATTGAGAAAGACTTTTTCACTAAAATTAAACGAGTTGTTATATAACCAGGCCAGTGCAATGAGACTGGTTTCCAAATTATTCTCCAGAAATTAGAGGTGATTATTATTGAAAGGGCAATGGTTTATTACATGAATAAAGTGTTTGCATTTAGGTGAAAAAAATCCTTAATAACAGGTAGCATATATTCGCTTGGTAATATTGTAGCATAGTCCTTACATATTGGGAGGGCTGTCTAGAGTCAGACTGGGGTTGCAGCCCAATTCTTTAATTTTTCCAGCTTTGCAGTATTGGATAAGTCACTTAACCTCTATCTGCCTTTGTTTGCTCATCTGTAAAATGGGTCTAATAATAAGAACTTGTATCTCATAGGGTTGTTGTGTGGATTACATGAGTTAGTAGAGTCAGGTGCTGAGGAGAGCTGTGTGATGCTTAGTAACTAATCAGTATTAATGGTTATTATTCACTGGACAAGTGTGGGATTATGGTGACCACCACAGATTTTGGAATCAGAAAGCCCTAGGTTCAAAACTATTTATTAATTCGTGGTGGAACCTAGTCACTGAACCTTTTGAAGTCTCAGTTTTTTGGGGGGGAAAAAAGGAAATAGTTAAAATATACTTCATACTGCTTAGGATGGTTTACCAGGACATCTGGCAAGGAATGTTAGCCAATACCTGTGAAGATAGAATCACAAATTATTATGTAATGCAGTTTTGAAGTAATTTGAATCAGAGATTATCTGATTCTGAAAATGTCCTTCTTGCCATATGTTATATTTAGGGGACTTTTAGAAATGTGCCCAATTATAAGACTTACTTCGTTAAATCCAGAATTTCAAAAAAGACAACCGAATAATTTAAATCAAATCATACAATGCAAACAGAACTTATATATGGCATCCTGACTTAAAAAAAACTCATTAGCCTTTTTAGGCCTATCAGGCATATCAGCCCAATGTTTAATTTGTTACAAAGATTGGGCTGTTACTGCATTTAAAATGATTTTCTTTTCTAGAAAAATAGGGAAAAAAGAAGAAAAGAGGTGGAAATGCAGAACATATGTCACAAAACGATGGGGAGGAAGGGCTTGCTTTTTCAGTTCCATGATCATGGTGTCTAATCCATATTTTATGCTTATTGTTGTTATGAATAAACTTAAGGTATTGTCCATTGGGCTCATATTGGACGAAGTTCAGTGGTTGTACTGGGTGGCATATTTCAAACAAATTGTCATTTTTTTTTCCCCAAGGTGGGAAATACTGATAATTTGGGACAGTGATCTGAGCCAAGAGCTATTTGCTTGACTGCCGTGTAGCACTCAGAATGGAAAGCCAAGTCCCCTTGCCTCATGTGTTAATTATAAACCATCTGGAACAGTGATGATGCTTGGTTAGTCCAGCTCTGTGTCCATCCATATCAGCACCCAAAGAGTCTTTCATACATAAATTTAACCTGTCTTGTTTATAATTCAGATTGTAATATTCTCAGTAGTTGCTTTGTACCCTTCTGTTATCCTTACTGTTTGCTTTTGCAGTAGGGTTAGCTTTTAAGAGTTTGCCCAGGATGAGGACAGTCTTGGTTGTGGAGGAGGCTTTTGAGTGTAAAGTTTTGGAGGGGAATTCCTAGCTAACAGCCCATGTTCCATGTATGTGTACTTGGGGACCTGGGTGAGAGATGACCTTGGTGCTTCTTCTGACCTCTTTCCACAGGGCTCTGCATCGCTCCATACTTTCAGTCCTTCATCATGGTCAACATTCACATCTTGAAGTCTTGTATTAGGATTTAGGGTATAATAAAAAGAAAAAGCAGAGTCAAGGTGCTCATCTAAACAAATGAGTTCTCATGTTGTCCTGCTTATTTCCCCAGGCATAATATATTTGTGATGTCTATCTCAAAAATTATTGGTGGCTTTAGGAGTATCCTTTTAAAGGAGGCAGGTTTTATACACATCCATGGAAGATAAGTACTATTAATCAGAACAGGGGAAGGTGGGATGTTTATATTGAGTAATTCAACATTCCTGTAGGTTTCAGGTTTTTCTTTTTCTTTTTTTTTTTTTTTTAAAGAAATACAGAGATGGGACTGCCTGGATGGCTCAGTTGGTTAAGCATCTAACTCTTGGTTTAAGCCCAGGTCATGATCTTGGGTCTTGAGATCAAGTCCTGAATCAGGATCTGCACTCAGGTTGGAGTCTCCTGAAGATTTTCTCCCCTTCCCTCTGCTCATCCCTATGTACATGCATGCTCTATCTTTCTAAAATAAATAAATAAATATTTAAAAAAAGAGAGAGAGAGAGAGAGAGAGAATAGAAAAAGAAATACAGGGGGAAAAAACCAAACCAAAAAAAAAAAATCTCTAAGTCAGTAAACAAAACCCTCATGATGTAGCCACAAGAAATTTTATCTGAAAACTTATTTTAGTGGCTGTATATAACTCAGAAGCAGACTTCAAATCATTTAGTTTAATGTTGATTCTTGAATAGTACCATTTTACAAGAAAGACCATTGTGTCCTCTAAACCAGTATTTTAACACTCAACATTCATCTTTGTTCCCTAATGTACATCAGTTATATAAAGAGGAGTCAGTGCAGGTTAACTACGGCAAACTTGATCTCAGTAACACAGGGTATCTCAAGCCATTCAGCGTTCACAGATGACTGTAGGTAGGCAAGTGGAAAACATTAAGCCAGTCAAGATGTATTTAAGAGAGGAAAATGCATGAGCTATTTTAGATTGACGTGCTTCCAGCAAAAAGGGATAATGTTTGAATGAATCATGTATCAAGAGTACTCATCCAGTTGTGTAAGCACAAGTATAGGACTAATGTAGGACTGATGAATATTTATCTAGTTGTGTAAGCAGAAACATAGGACTAATGTAGAAATATAGGACTAATGTAATCACAATGTTAAAGCTTTGATAGGCTCCAGTAAGCAGAGCACAATACAGCAAGAATAATACATTATTGAAAGAAGTGGGTTTTGGTTATTCCCAAAGGTAACATTTGGAAGATTTCCAGATTGTTTCCAGATAACTTTTTAAGTGTTTATTTTATGTATTTGAAGATTAGAATATCTCAGTGACTATTTTCTGACATTCTTTTTAGCTAAAGAACTTACAGTTGTATGTTGAAATAGAGTAATAATAATGGTGATGATCATCTACCGAGCCAGTGACTACACAGTGGGTTTCATCTCAAATTGTGCCACATCATC